GAAGGTAACCGCGCAGGGCGACGAGCCGCTGCCGGTCCGCGAGCAGGCCTTAAGCAGGCCCGGCCCAGGCCAGCGTAGAGAGGAGGACACACTATAAGGACGGGGGCATTCTATTTGCCTGAAAGCCGGCTTTTGAAATGGAGTACGGGGCCATGTGGGCAGGTGCGCGGCAGGGCGACGAGCCGCTTGCGGCGGCCTGCCGGACCGCGAAGCGGCCTTAAAGCAGGCCCGCCAGGCCAGCGGTAGAGAAGGGAAACACTATAGACGGGGTGGCATCGATTTCGTGCCTGAAAAAGCCGGCTTTTTGGAAATGAGTACGGGGCCATGTGTGGGGCAGGTGCGGTAGGGCGACGACGCCGCTGCCGCGCCGCGCCGGACGCGAAGGCGGTTTAAAGAAGGCCCCCCGCCAGGTCAGCGTAGGGAGAGGACACACTATTAGACGGGGTGCATCTTTCGTGCCATAAAAAATGCGCTTTTTGGAGTTGAGAACAGGCCATGTGGGGCGTGCCGCGGCAAGGCGACGAGCCGCTGCCGGTCGCGCAAAGCGGCTTAAAGCAGGCCCGCCAAGGCCAGCGTAGAGAGAGGACACACTATAGATCGGGGGCTCTATCCGGCCTGAAAATGCCGGCTTTGGAAAATGAGTACGGGGCCATGTTGGCACAGTGTTGCGGCGAGGGCGACGAGCCGCTGCCGGCGCTGCCGGGACGCGAAGGCGGCTAAAGCAGGGCCCGCCCAGGTCCAGCGTAAGGGAGAGAGGCACCACTATAAGACGGGGTGCAGCCTTTCGTGCTGAAAAAGCCGGCTTTTGGAGTTGAGTACGGGGCCATGTGGGGCGCAAGTGCCGCGGCAGAGCGACGAGACGCTCCGCGCTGCCGGACGCGAAAGGCGGTTTAAAGAAGGCCCGCGAATTTCAGCGTAGGGAGAGGCACCACCTATCAGCGGGGTGAATGCTTTCGTGCCTAAAAAGCCAGGCTTTTGGAGTTAGGAAGACAAAAGCCCATGTGGGGCAGGGTGCCGCGCGGCAAAGGCAGACGAGCCGCTGCCGGCGCTGCCGGACGCGAAAGCAGCTTAAAACAGGCCCCGCCAAGTCAGCGAGGAGAGGACACACTATAGACGGGGTGCATCCTTTCGTGCTGAAAAGCCGGCTTTTGGGAGTTTGAGAACAGGGCCTAGTGGGGCAGGTGCCGCGGCAAGGCGGAGGAGCCGCTGCCCGGCGCTGCCGGACGCGAAAAGGCAGCTTAAAGCACGGCCCCGCCAGGCCAGCGTAGAGAGAGGACACACTATAGACGGGGGGCACTATATGTGCCTGAAAAGGCGGCTTTTTGAAATGAGTACGGCCGCCATGTTGGGGCAAGTGCCGCGGCAGGGCGACGAGACGCTGCCGGACGCGAAGGCGTTTTAAAAGAAGGCCCCGCCAGGCCAGCGTAGGGAGAGGAACACACTAAGACGGGTGCATCTATTCGTGCCTGAAAAAGCCGGCTTTTTTGGAAAGAGTACGGGGCCATGTTGGGCCAGGTGCCGCGGCAGGGCGACGAGCCGGCTGCCGGTCGCGAAAGGCGGTTTAAAAAAAAGCCCCCGCCAGTCAGCGTAGGGAGAGGACACACTATAGACCGGGGTGGCAATCCTTTCGTGCCTAAAAAGCCGGCCTTGGAGTTTGAGAACAGGGCCATGTGGGCAGGTGCCGCGAAAGCGACGAGCCGCTGCCGGCGCTGCGGACGCGAAGCAGCTTAAAGCAGGCCACCCGCCAGGCCAGCGGTGGGAGAGGACACACTAGTAGACTGGGTGACTCTATTCGTGCCTGAAAAGCCGGCTTTTGTGAATGAGTACGGGCCATGTTGGGCGGAAGCGGTGCCGCGGCAGGGGAGACAAGCCGGCATGCCGTCGCGAAGGCGTTTTAAAAGCAAGGCCCGCCAGGCCAGCGTACGAGAGCAGGACACACTATAGACGGGGGGATCTATTCGCTGCCTGAAAAAGCCGCTTTTGGGAAAATGAGTACGGCGGCCATGTTGGCAGTGCCGCGGCAGGGCGACGAGCGCGCTGCCGGTCGCGAAAGGCGGTTCAAAGCAGGCCCCAGCCAGGCCAGCGTAGAGAGAGGACAACTTAGCGAGGGGCATCTATTCGTGCCCTGAAAAGCCGGCTGTTTGGAAAGAGACGGGGCCATGTTTGGCCAGCGTGGCCGCAGGCAGGGCGAACGAGCCGCATGCCGGTCGCGAAGGCGGTTCAAAGCAGGCCCGCCAGGCCAGCGTAAGAGAGAGACACGACATTTAGACGGGGGCATCTATTAGTGCCTGAAAAGCCGCTTTTGGTAAATGAGGTACGGGGCCATGTTGGGCAGGTGCCTGCGGGCAGTGGCGACGGAGCCGCTTACCGGTCGCGAAGGCGCGTTAAAAAAAAGCCCCCGCAGGTCAGCGTAGGAGAGGACCACACATAGACTGGTGCATCCTTTTCGTGCCTAAAAAGCCGGCTTTGGAGTTGGAGAAACAGGGCCATGTAGGCAAGGGTGCCGCGGCAAGGGCGACGAGCCCGCTGCCGGCGCTGCGACGCGAAAGGCAGCTTAAAGCAAGGCCCCGCCAGGCCAGAGTAGGCGAGAGGACACAGCTAAGACTGGGTGCATCATTCGTTGCCTGAAAAGCCGGCTTTTTGGAAATGAGTACGGGGCCATGTGGGCAGTTACGCGGCAGGCCGAGACGAGCCGCTGCCGGTCGCGAAGGCGGTTGTATAGCAGGCCCCGCCAGGCAGCGTAGAGAGAGGACACCACTTAGACGGGGTTGCCCAAAATTCTATTTTCGTTTTGCTGAAAACGCCGGCTTTGGAAATGAGTACGGGGCCATGTGGGGCAGTGCCGCGGCAGGGCGACGAGCCGCTGCCGGGTCCGCGAAGGCGGTTCAAAGCAGGCCGCCGCCAGGCCAGCCGTAGAGAGAGGGACACACATAGACGGGGGCATCTATTCGTGCCTGGAAAAGCCAGCTTTTGGAAATGGTACGGGGCCATGTTGGGCAGGTGCGCGGCAGGGCGAACGAGCCGCTGCGCGGTCGCCGAAGGGGGACGGTATAAAGCAGGCCCCTGCAGGCCAGCGGTAAGAGAGGACACACTATAGACGGGGGCATCTATTCGTGCCTTGAAAAAGCCGGCTTTTGGGAAATGAGTTACGGGGCCATGTTTGGGCAGGTGCCGCGGTAGGGCACGAGCCGCTGCCGGTCGCGAAGGTGGTTTTAAAGCAGGCCCGCCAAGGCCATGCGTAGAGAGAGGACACACTTAGACGGGGTGATCATTTCGGTGCCTGAAAGCCGGCTTTTGGCAGTTGAGTACGGGGCCATGTGGGGCAGGTGCCGCGGCAGGGCCAACGAGCGTGCCGGACGCGAAGGCGGCTAAAGGCAGGCCCGCAAGGTCAGCGTAGAGAGAGGACACATATAGACGGGGTGCATCTATTCGTGCCAAGAAAAGCGGCTTTTGGAGTTGAGTCCGGGCCATGTGGGGCAGGTTTTGCCAACGCGGCAGGCGCGCAGCCGCTGCCGCCTCCCGTGACGCGAAGGCGGCTAAACAGGCCCCGCCAGCATTGCGTAGAGAAGAGACACCATATAGAAGGGGCATCTATTCGTGCCTAGAAAAGCCGGCTTTTGGAAACTGAGTACGGGGCCCATGTTGGGCCAGCGTGCCGCGGCAGGGCCGACGGCCGCTACCGGCGCTGCCGGACGCAAGGCGGTTTAAAGCAGGCCCGCCAGGCCAGCTTAGAGAGAGGACACACTATGACGGGGTGCATCGCTTTACGTGCTTGAAAAGCCGCTTTTGGCACAATGAGTACGGGGCCATGTTGGCAGGTGCCGCGGCAAGGCGACGAGCCGCTGCCGGCGCTGCGGACGCGAAGGCGGTTTAAAGAAGGCCCCGCCAGGTCAGCGTAGGGAGAGGACACACTATAGACGGCGGGCGCATCTATTCGTAGCCTGAAAAGCCGGCTTTTTGGAAACGAGTACGGGGCCAATGTTGGGCAGGTGCCGCGGCAGGGCGACGAGCCGTACCGGCGCTGCCGGAACGCGAAGGCGGTTTAAATTTAGGCCCCGCCAGGCCAGTGGAGAGAGAGGACACACGTATTAGACGGGGGGCATCCTTTCGTGCCTAAAAAGCCGGCTTTTGGGAAATGAGTACGGGGGCCATGTGGGCAGGTGCCGCGCAGGGGCGACGAGCCACTGCAGGCGCTGCCGGACGCGAAGGCGGTTTAAAGAAGGCCCCGCCAGGTCAGCGTAGGGAGAGGACACACTATAGACGGGGTGGCATCTATTCGTGCCTGAAGGCCGGCTTTTGGAAATGCAGTACGGGGCCATGTTGGGCAGGTGCCCGCGAGGGCGACGAGCCGCTGCCGGCCGCTGCCGGACGCGAAGGCGGTTTTAAAAAGGCCCCGCCAGGCACGTAGGGAGAGGACACACTATAGGCACGGGGTGCATCTAATTCGGTGCTGAAAAGCCGGCTTTTGGAGTGAGTTGGGGCCAATGTGGGGCAGTGCCGCTGGCAGCGACGAGCCGCTTGCCGGCGCCTGCCGGGACGCGAAGGCGCGCGGCGGCGCAGCTGGCGGCGCGTTGCGCGCACCCGGACGGCGCGGCGGCGGGCGCCGCGGCCTGCTGCCCTGCGCGCGGCGTGCGCCCCACGCGGCCACCTACCCGGGTCGAGGTGCTCTTCTGGGGCTTGCGCGACCTCAAGCGCGTGCATTGCTGGCCGTGGCGCGGCCGCGCGTCGACGTGAGTGCGCCGGCCGCGTGCTCACTCCGCCGTCCATCCCACGCGTCGCCGCCAACCCACAACTTTCTCCTCGCCCGTTCAAGTGCAATGGAGCTGGTGAGCACGTGCGCCTTATAGCTTTCTCGGCACTATTTGAATCATCGCAGGTCACGAATTTTTCATTGAGTTCAACCGAAAAACAACGTGGCGCCGTTTTTATAAATGTACTTTTTCTCTCTGCGAACAGAATAAAATATTTTCCCGGTAAGTTCAGTTTTGATAAAGAATATTTTAATTGCCTATTGTTTCAACCCACGTGCGCTAAAAACAAAAAAAAAATTAATCTTTAAAAATTTGACCCTGATATTATTAAAGATCTTATTATAAAAATGTTGACCTGATATTATTTAAATTCTAAATTTGGAAGCAAGAGATTGCATTAAGGAAAATACCATATTTAATATTGTTGGTTTGTCAGTGTTAACTTTCTGCAATTCAAAAATTCTGAAGTGTTAACGAACATTGAGACATGTTTTAAACATTTTTAATTGTTTGAAGGGAAAAAAGTGTATTAAATATTTGGGAACCGCAATTTTTGTGAAAAGGTGGAAAATTTGACGTTTTCATGGTGAGGTTTCTCTAAAAATAAAAAAAAAGTATCTAATTCGCAGGGCCCTGGAGAACTGAACAGACATAAGGACAGGCCCAATTTTTGGATATACAAAACAACAAAACGTGTATCCTGAATAAATAACGTGTATAAGAAACGTAAATTTTCTACTTCTAGGAACAAAATTTATTACGCTTTTTTGAATATCAGGGTTCAACAAATACATTTTTTATGGAAGCAAAATCGACAGTATCCCGCTGCAGCATTACAATTATTCTCTCTACCACGTACTAGTAGTATGCGAGAAATAAGAAATAAAAGAAATTTAAATTGTGGATGAGTGTTAAGCATCAATTTTTCCAGAAAAATGCTTTACTGACTCAATGTAAATAATCACTAGAATGCAAGGGTTATTATTGCAAATAATGAGTTAAGCAACAATGAAGGTTACGAGTGATATGTTTAAATGTACGAATGCGAAAACAAGTTTCTATTTATTTCCCAAGGGCATACCTGAGATCCATTTAGTCTCCTCGTTCTTTTACTAGTTTCTGATTCATTTAATCTTATTTATATTTACTCTTTATTCTCCACTATTTTATCTATCATGTTCTATTCTTTGTTTTCTTGTTCTTACTTCTTCCTCTTTATCTGATTATTGTGTTTTTCTTTCTAGCTTTCTTTCTATATTCATGGTTTCCCGGAGTCGAGAATCCTTTCCCCATTTTCCATTTCTTCCTGATTATTATTCCTTGCCGACACAGCGAGGTAACTTGCAATTAAAAGCACTCACACCCAATTTTATGTGTGAGAGGGAATCTCATTTATATGGGTTTTATGCTCAGGCAGTGGTGGGAGGGAGTGAAAAGGCGGGAATGAGCTTAGGATTACGTGTATATAATTGTTTACGGGGGCCTGATTCATATTTGGGAAGGCGTGATTTACTTCTAGTAGGGTCGTAGTCTGGAGTTTCCACAGGTTGCTATCAGGTCTGGTACCCGGGTCCAGGTTTAGAAGAATTGATTTTTTTCTCTATTATACCAATCCGCCCACTATTGGTACATACGTTGGATTGAAGCCATTCTATCTTGCAATTTTATTTTGCAAAGTTTCTTGGAATTATTCTAGGGTATTGCAAAGTTAGAAAATTATTGAGATTTTTGAAAATCGAAATGTGTTTAATTGTAGTCTATTAAGTAAAGTTGTTTTATATCGTAATATTATTAGTCTCTTTCCTTATGAACGTAGACAAAAAAGTATTGAATATCGCGCGTTGGAAAACGGCGAAATGTTGTGACAGGTTAAACTCTTATTGTCGGTGCCCCTCGACACTACAAAAGTGATAAATCGTGTTCCTTAATAAAGTAAATTGTTCCTCATCGACTCGTCCCTCACTCGACTCGTCCCTCACTCGACTCGTCCCTCACTCGACTCGTCCCTCACTCGTCTCGTCCCTCACTCGTCTCTTCCTCTCGTTTAGTCCCTCATACGTTTAGTTCCTCCCTTGTTTTGTCCCTCACTCGTTTAAAACCGTGTTCAATTCCTCAGTGTTTAGTATCTCACTCCTTCAGTCACTCACTCCAGTCACTCACTCCTTCAGACACTCACTCCTCACTCCTTTAGACACTCGTTCGTTCCGTTACTTATTCACTCAATTGTTCAGATGATTTCCGATTGATTTGTTAGTCATTGATTCGGTCACTCATGCGTCCCTTTTCATGCCATGTCATCCTCATTTGTCCGTCGTGGGGAGGGGTGGGGTGGGTGTGGCTGACCTGCAGCAGCTCGAAGGCGGCGAGCAGCTCGCCCGCGCGGTCGGGCCCGCGTCGCAGCTCGTGCCACTGCAGCGCGGGCGGGAAGCGCGGGCGCGCGTACGGCTCGCCGGCCAGCTTCACCAGCGGCTCGGCCACGCAGCGCCCGATGAACTCCGCCTTGCCCTGCGCCACCGAGTGCTCGCGCGTCGCACCGCGAGGTCAATTGGCGGCGACAAGGGACCCGTACGCCTCGTGCTCCAAGCGACAGACAGGCAGGCAGGCAGTGCGCAAGCTCTGTGCCTCCGGCCCAACCTCGCGCCGCCGTGATGTTCGTGCGGTGGGCTCTGGGGCTTGCTTTCGGGGTGGGCCCGTGTCGGTTTGGTTGTGATTTAAGTCGCAAGTGTTTCTTTCGCATTTTAACCACAGAGTGTTTAGCCTTTACAATGATTTTGAGGCGATATGTCGCCAGAAAACACATCGTTATTTTAATGCATTGGTGTTTAAAGCCGGTTTATAAAGTCACTTTACTGTAATATACATAAAGATGGGTTAATATTATAAAAAATTCTAAAATAAATTGTTTATGTATTGGAAGGCTCAATGATTCAATCAATTCTGTTGGAGATTAACTTCAAAGATAACGAAAGACAGATTATGCAACAAGAAATAAGACGGAAAACATTTCAGATTGATTCATTACTTAACGGACTAAGATTTTGTGTTTTAATGATGTATATTTTTTCTGTGTTATGGAGTTTATATAATTTTGTTGTTACAATGTACAGTTATTACGAGTAATAGCGATAATAATGAAGAGCCTAATTCTTTGATAGTCACTGACCAATTAAAATAAAATTATTATGTTACAAAATAGGCAGTTTTGGAAGAGTTATTAAATACTTTATATTAAAGTACATTAATAAATTAATTTTAAATAAGAAATTAACACTGATCCATTCGAAAGCAAGCCACAGATGTTTCTTTTGCTTCATGCTCACTGCACTCAGATATAATGCAGGTGAATTGCATATTGTTTTACTCTCGATTTATTTTAATACATGCAGCTTTTGATTTTCTAATCTATAATATTTACATTTAATTTATTATTAAATTTTCCTGGTGCCTTCATCTAGGCGATTTGCAGGAAGAGATATGTGAAAGTCTACAAAAAGGAAATTCTACTGCACGTGAAGCACGGTATACAAGTCCTTGTCGTGAATTACCTAATAGATACTTCTACAATGATTTGAGAATGATTCAAAATGAAGCTAATTCATGTGCTTAACATACTTGATGCCTTCAATTAGAAGCTTTAGTGATGCAAAATTAAAGAGTTCTGGCTAACATAGAAGCATTTAGTCTACAAACAATGATCAACATATGAGGGAACTAAGAAAGTATCTTACAGTGAACAGTGGGAACTATGGGAGTGTATGAGGGAACTAAGGAAGTGTCTTACAGTACTCTCTCTTAATTAGTGAAATACAATTACTAGCGACGTTTATTAGGTTACATTAGAGTTCATTGAAAATCATTATGCCGATCTAACGTGTTTACTTTATACATTTGCTTTATTCTTAGTAAAAAAATATTTTGTGTCTAAAAGCTACTGAAATAGTAAAATGGTGAACCCTGGAAAAATGTGAACTTATTTCTTATCCTCACAAATTATTTTTTATTTATTATAGACACAGCAATCCAAGGTTTTTAGCGACTTTTTAGTATTTTACATTTAACATTTTCGATATTTAATTTTACATTGTATATATATATATATATATATATATATATATATATATACATAGTACAGTGATTACAATAACAAAATTTTTTCAATAATACAGAACTTGACTCTCAATCATGGCTGGTATGTGTATATGCACAGGAAACTTAATTATATTTTATTATTAATTAAATATATTTGTATTCAGGCAATCATTTATATTTCCCTGATTACAAGGCTTGAAATTGATGATTGCTTAAATTTGTTTCTCTGATCTCGAATCTGGAAAACGTTCTACGAAAGTTCGGGAGGTTAGGAAAATTGGACAGTAATGATTTATAAATTACTTAATCTACATCAGCAATACTATTATAGACACTATTACAAATATTGTATAAAAAATGTCCTAACCTCCCCATAATGATAGTACTTTTTAAATGGGATTCGATTTGTTTTGTATCCCACTCAAGACTTAGGTAAGACTTCCTCAAATATTGATCACAGTTGCAGACTCCGTATCTCCGCGCAAACCCTGCCCGGTGCGTCCACTCACCACTTGGTCCTGGTCGAAGATCTCCACGACCACTTGCGGCGGGTGGTCGCGGATGTGCACGGGCGACCCGTACAGCTCCAACGGCTCCAGCACCAGCAGCTCGTCCCACGTGGGGCTGAGCGTCTCATCCTGCGGCACGACACAGCGCCTTCAGGCACGAATCGAAATGGATGGAATGTGACAATGAATGAATGTAATGTAACAATGAATGAATGTAAATGGATGAAATGTAACAATGAATGAATGTAAATGGATGTAATGTAACAATGAATGAATGTAAATAGATGTAATGTAACAATGAATGAATGTAAATGGATGTAATGTAACAATGAATGAATGTAAATGGATGTAATGTAACAATGAATAAATGTAAATGGAGAATTGTTATTTATAATTCGTTGTATCTATACAATGTGTACAAAAATTACCATTATATCATTTTAAATATTACAAAGCTCTGAATTGAGTTAACAAGGTATTAATAGCAATAAAAGTAACAATGTAGCAACAAAGTAACAAGTAAGTTTGAACAAAGCTCATTCGGTACGTTATTCCAGCCTATGATTCAACTATTTTCGCAATCAGTTTGCAGTTCATTGAACTTATAAGGTCACATGAACTGATTTATTTTACATTTAGAGCTTTACGTCAAAAGGAAGCGTGTAAATCGTGTCTGAGGTCGTATTTTAGAAACATTACTTCTGGAGTGCAGGTCGTTTTCAACACAGCCTTCAGGCTTCCTGCGCGCTCCTTGCGTCAAACTGAGACGTTTGCTACGGAAAGCTACAGCTCTCTTTTCGACCAGACTGGGAATCAAACTTGGGAAGGCACCATGGTGGCTTCATACTTGGTGGTTCAAGACTTTGAGGGATGTAGAAACTCAAGAATGCAAACTAGGTATAGTATATGAATGGGAAAGTCGTGTTTACAGTTAACGATTTATGCATGAGTCGCTATAACGGGGCTCTGTCAACAAACAAATGAATTGCTCCATGTAGATGTACGTACTATCGTGATTATATTGCTTTCAATAAGTAGCATTTTATCCGATATTATTTAATTATTTAGGTGAAAAATAAAAAGTAAGGTTGCTGCTGTTTCAACAACTAGTATCTTTATATAGTTTAGCGTCATACATAGCGTTGTATAATAAAGGAATCTAAAAAATTGGAAAACTGGGAAAGTTTTTATTGTAGCACCGTTTCTTCGAAACCCTGCCGCACATAAACCCTGCTGCTAAAATAAGAGGACTAAACTAGTAGAGAACTTAAATCCGCAAAACGAATAACAAATCTAAAAGAATTGCACATAACATAACAAACGCGTCGTTAAATAAACCCTACAGAGAACGATGATAATGATAGGGCCTAACTGTAAGCTTTCGGTGTGGAGACAACTGACGTTGCTCAAACGTTTTCATGCTAAAGTGCTCGCTTTACTTATGTGCAAACTGCAGGAAAACAATGCCATTTAAAACTGCCGTTAGAATTGATCTACACACAAACACATGGAGCTTCGGATATGGAGGATTGCTGATTTCCTCAAAGGCTTATGTACCAGCAGAATATTTACTTGTTTCAAGCCACCCGCGAAGTCATCTCAATACTAGTCTGTCCTCTCATTTTACGCACACCAATAGTACAATCGACAGGAGCTATCTGTCTAATACACATTCAGATAACCGGATACAGGAAGAAACCACAATTGTCTCCCGTGTCCTCTGAAAAATGCAAGATGAAATCTGAGCGAGAAATTCCAATGACGTATCAGAAATGAGGTGACGGGAGACAACAGAGGACAAAATGAAGGGGATTTTTAAGAGAAAGCAATCTTCCTAATAAAAACATATACAATCAAACCTAATGAAACATATACAACCATATACAGTAGAACCTCGCTAGTATGAGCCCCTCAAATCCGAAATATCGGATAATCCGAAAAAAATTTGGGATCGAGGAGCCAAACGAAATAAAATAAAATGCTTATTTGTAGTGTAAAAAAAGGATTTTGTAATTACTGTAGAACTTTACTACTAATTTCTGAAACACAAGATGTCGAAATTAAACGTCAATTGCACCGGTAATTACAGTGTATATCACACGTTTATGTAGTTGTAATTTTCACTTAGAGGAACTTGCAAAATTGGTAATCTTCTTTTGCCATAAGGAACTGAATTCTATTGATGATGTGATGGTTTGATAGCTACTCTACATTGCCATTTTCTCACATCGCACACAACGTTGTCATTGTCTGGAAATACTATGGATGTTTTTGTATTTGTACGGAACATTGTTTCGGAACATATACAAAACCGAATGAACCCCCAAATTAGTTGAGATTACCGGAGTTCTTCTGTACATACATATTGGAAGATCGGAGAGATTTTCAATCCTAGAAAATTTCTCTGTATCTGTAAAGGGTTTGATAATTATAGTACAGAATGTATGTTATTGTCAGCTTCAGTAACGATCAGCAAGTTTCGTGATAGCGGATGTAAATTGATCAAATGATCTAAGTTTCGGTTAGGGTTTATATTTTATCTGGTCTGTTTACTGAACTTGAGGATTCACGTGTCCATCTGCAAATATCGAGGGTTCGATGCACGAGGTAGCCACAAGGCAAAGTCACGTGATTGTCTCCGGGTTCAATTGTCATCCTGGCAGAGGTGCGGATTCGTGCAGTACAGAACTGTTTCTCTTTGCAAATACAAATATTTCACCAATCACTTTTTGACAACAAAATGCTAGCAATAATAGTACTCATACTTAAGCATTTATTACATCAAATTCATTATTACAATATTTCATAATTTATTACCAGCCTCCTGCAGAGGTGAAATAGAATAGAAGAGGTGGCATTGTATTAAACCGCATATCTTTTAATATTTCTCTTCATTAGCTTTAATTTAGATTGAAATTAGGACTGCCCTCATATGAGAAATAAAAATATGTTTCAACGCTTTCATTGCGATATTAAACTATTTTGTTTCATAATTCAACCAAACAGTATACAGCAAAAACGTTAAAATCATAATGAGCTTCATAATATGGCCACTGCCCTTAGAAACCGCATTTACGAAACAAATGACTGGTTATACTGTTCTGTCGCTATGCAAATTTGTGGTTTAGCAAATTTTATTCTGTCCGTGAACTAGAAATACAATATGATTGCATAAACTATGAGTGCGTGACCTGAATATAAATGTATTTACTCACAAATTGGAAGTATGAAAAAATCCTGCAAAGTCTCTCGAGAGCCGCTTGTCAGTACTATGTAAAACATATTATAAAATTCTAAAATATACAAATGTAATATGAACGAAAATAGATGATGAATTTTGGGTTATATATTTGCAGAGTATACTGGTATCTTTATTTTAGAAAAAATCTTACAAGGATTTTGAAGAAAGGCATAAATATGATTTCTAATATTGATCAAGTCACACACTCTGATGAAATAGTTTCTTTTCAATTTGAAAGGGGGTGATTAAATAACTCTACCATAGTTGTCGATGAGTGATGTTCCTCTGTACATGTTGTGTTACTATAGGATGTAGGTGTGCCAAATGAAACTTTCTGAAATGTACAATGAGCCTGAATACACATTATTTCTTCTAATAATCTGACTTGACACCTAGTGAATTGATATTTGTGGTGGAACAGAGAACCTGATAGAATTGAAAACCGTTAACGTCTTGTACAACTAGAATACCATAAATGAATAAATAACATAAATGGAGAATTGTTATTTATTATACATTGTTTATGTAATTTGCAAAAAAACTTACCGTTATATCATTTTAAATATCACAAAGCTCTGGATTGAGTTAACAAGGTCTTAATAGCAATAAAAGTATTAGGTTTGAACGAAGTTCATTCGATACGTCGTCCCAGCCTTTGTTTCATCTACTGTCGCAATTAGTTTGCCGTTCATTGAACTGATAAAGTGACATTATCCGATTTGATTTGCGTTAGAGGTTTACGTCAAAAGGAAGCGTGTAAATCGTGTCTGAGGTCGTATTTTAGAAACATTACTTCCGGAGTGCAGGTCGTTTTCAACACAGTAAACAACTTCTCAAGGCTTGCTCCAAAAGCCTGCAACGAAACCGAATGAACCCAATAGCATCGCAGTTCCAACCCAATAGCATGACAAAGAAGAAAAGGAACAAATAAGGCCGATGAGGGACTCGATGTTGTGGAGGAAGAGAAAGAGCAAGGAAACGACGACAGAGATGTAGAGGAGGAGGAGGAGGAGGAAGGACAGGAGCAAGAGGAATATGGTTAGGAGGAGGAAGGTAGAAGGAGGTGGAAAAGGAAAAGGGAAGTGAAGAGGAAGCAGAGGGAAAGGCGTCGAAAGTCAGGAGGAAGAAACGGTGGAAAAGAAGGATTAAGGAGAGGAAGAAAAAGAGGATGGGTAGAAGGAGGAAGATTAAGAACAGGAGGCAAATAATGATCAAGAGAAAAAAGTATAGAAGGAGAGAGATAAAAAGTGTAGAAGGAGCAGAAGAAGAGAAGTACGAGGAGAGGAGAAAGTGGAAGAGGTTCGAGGGGAAATGAAGGAGGAAGAAGGGCAAGGGGAAGAGGAGTAAGAGGAGAAGGTAGGAGACGGAAGAAAGGAGAGAAAGAGAGGAGGAGGAAGGGAAGGAA